CTTCCTCCCCTCTTTCCTTCCTTCCTTCCTCCCTGTCTCCCTCCCTTCCTCCCTCCCTTCCTTCCTTCCTTTTGCCATTGGCTAGTGCCCCAAGGAGAACCTACTTTCAGAAGGATTTTGGTAGGGTTAGGGAGTAAGAGGCAACGAGTCCCACAGGTTGGCTTAGCATTTTGCAATTGGGCCAGAGTTCTGCACACATTTTTCTCTTAGGCCTCCAGGGCTGTATGGGGATATGACAACCTGACTACAATCACAGCTTGTCTGGTCTTAATGGTTCCATAGCTTGGCCTGGGTTTTTCATCCTGCTTCCAGTGACAGAGCGAAATTGCCACTGGGATTCTCATAGGCATATCCCCACCATCATCTTCACTTAGTGTGCTCTGGAAGCTTCTACGTGAAGCTCAGTAGGCTTTTCACATAGCCTGTGGCCTGACTTAAGGAGCAAAGACCTTTGCAAAGCAAGATAATAAAGTAAGTAAACTACCAAAACCAAGTAAATGACTACACAGAGATGGGTGTGAGAACGGGGGACTGTGTGTGTGTGTGTGTGCATGTACTTTGCGGAAGAGGGCAAAGAGAACAGGTCCCAAAGAGAGGCCCCAGACCCCACCTCACTTGAGCCCCTATGCCTTCCCTTAGCACACACAGCCCTCCCAGCCATGGACAGTCTCTTGTTTGGAAAGTAAACACACCACAGCAATCCTGGCACCTCTGTGAAGTGACTTGAATGCCCACGTGCACCACCTACGGTGCTACCTGAGTGATGAATGTCTCTGGGATGTGAGCATCAGCTGACCATGTCTGTTGGGAAATGGGCCCCTCCCAAGAGGCAGTGCCTGACTACAATCTTATAAAAGGTTCTCTGGCTGGACACTGCTCAGTCCACTGCCTAGCAGGTGCCCCATTCCAGGTGGAGAACTGAGAGAGTCTTCCTGTGGAGCTAGGGTCTGGTAAGTCTCCAAGGGGGACTTGGGGGAGGAGCTCTGGAAGAGTTGAAGGCAGAGGGCAGGAGAAGACAGAGCACAGCCAGCAGGTAGATGTGGAAAGAGAGCCCTGGAAAGTGCCTTAGGCTTCAACTGAGACACCCTCTCATGGTACCAGTGAGGTCATGGAGGCCCGATGGGATGGTGACTTCTGCAAGGTTACTTAGCACGTCTGTAGCAGAATGTGGCTAGAATCCAGGTCTTTGGCTCCCTGGAGTGGGATATATTTCCATCCTCTACACCACAATGCATCCGGGCACACTCTTGTTCCTATGCTTGTGGAGAATGAGAGGCATAGGCAGGGATGATGACCAGGACATGCTTCTGGTATTTGCTGATTCTTTAGACCCAGGTAGCAGGTCCTCTCGTGTGATTTAGGCATTTTCTAACTGATGGAGTGTTTACACGATGCTGATAACTGTGGGAACAGCACTTGGAGGTCTGTGGCCACAGAGAAGTGGGGGTTGGGAAGTGAAAAGAGCCAAAGGAAGAGTTTGGACTGGGTCGTGCAGATAAGTTGCCACCACATCCTCTTTAGTTTCCACTGTGAGAACACGGGTGGTCTTCATTTTAGTCGAGACAATGGAAGCCCGCTGACTCCGCAGACTGTTTCTTTGCCCTATGCCCATTTAACTCACTGGAAACACCTGGCTGGGGTGTGTTTGTTCCACTCTTTTCTCCCCTGCACCGGGCCAGGCTTGCTCGCTCACAGAGCCAGAGCGCTAAAGCCCTGAGTTCACTAGTTGGGAGGAAAAGGCCTGCTCGCCTGTAAAAGGCTTCTTCTCGTCTTTCAGGTTCACCGTGACTAGCTGAGCCTCACCATGTCCTCCCAGCAGAGCACGGCTTCCGCCAAAGGCTTTTCCAAGGGGTCTGCCCAGGGTCCCTCTCCGTGTCCGGCTCCGGTTCCCGGCCCTGTGCCCGCAGCCTCATCCTCCTGCTGCGACTGCGGGGAGGGCTGCTGCGGCTCCGGCGGCTGCTGCGGCTCCGGGGGCTGCTGCGGCTCCGGCGGTTGCGGCTGCTTCCCCAGGAGGCGCCGCCGACAGCGCCGGAGTGGGTGCTGCGGCTGCTGCGGGGGTGGCAGCCAGAGGTCACAGAGCTCCAGCAATGCCCAGCGCCAAGGCTGCTGCGGAGGCTGCTGAGGCCCCTGCTGAGCCCTGCGGTTCCCCGCCCCCCTGGAGTCCCGCCGCCTGTCACTTCGCTGTGCTCTCGCACGGGGCTGGGTCGGAGTGTTCCGCTTGTCAACCTACCTGCACCGGATATTCTGAGAGCTACCCTGTTCGCAGCCCCACCGAACACTCTGACCCCCCGTGTGATTATCCTCCCCGGGAACCTAAATGCCATGGGTGGGATAATGGAGCCTACTGTCGGCAGGGGCTTGCACACAGTAGGTGCTTAATAAATATCCATGTCGTAATAAAGCTGCTACCTCCTGAGAACACTTTATTTCCTATTCTTTCTTTTGTGTTTATTATCATGTTCTGTTACCCCAACCACTACCTTTCACTTAGCCCTGGGCTTGGCATGCATGAAAGGGAGAAAAGTCAAATTCATGCCTGAACAAGAGTGGCTTTCTGGTACTTAATTATGATAGCAGAAATCACGGTGGAGCCAGGCAGTGTTCTAAGGACTTGACGTGACATGCATGACCTCATGGCATTCTCACAATGACTCAGTGAGGTAGGTGCTGCTACCCCATTTTACATAAGAGAAACTGAGGATAAGTAACTTGCTCAGAATCTTTCAGCCAGTGCATGATGAAGACTGGGTGCCCCATTCCAGGGCTTATGCTCCTAACTGCTCTGCCTGGTTCCTGAAACCTTCCAGAGCCTTGGTTTGGGTCTACAATTCTCTGAGGCTTTGGAATCAGGCAAGCCACACAGGATCATAGACCCACTACTTTCCTTGCTGGATGGGGAAACTTTTTCAAGTGGAAACTTCCAGGGGCCTGGGAAGCTCTCTCTCCAGGCCTCATCCATGTAGCTGAGGCCCCACCAGGAGCCATGGACATTTGGGACTCTGTGGGGTGGGGGATGGGCATGCTCAGAAACATGGGGTTGTCATTCTCTAGAGGTGGTTGTGATGGTGGTGGTGGGATCATCCTGAGGTCTGAAACCCACACCTGTGGGCATTGATTTTATCCACTCATTTCAGGAAAGAGGAAACAAGAAGAAAGACATCCTCTGCAGGTGTTGACTGGTTCGAAATGGAGAAGGTGATAATAATGGTCGTAATGATAGGAACAATAGCTACCACTTCCTTTGTTTTAGGCACAGGGCTAGGCACTTTCCATATATTGTCTCATCTAATCCCTGTGATAATCTCAAAATGTAGACTTCATTTCCTCCATTTAAAAAAAAAATTTTTTTTTCAACGTTTATTTATTTTTGGGACAGAGAGAGACAGAGCATGAACGGGGGAGGGGCAGAGAGAGAGGGAGACACAAAATCGGAAACAGGCTCCAGGCTCTGAGCCATCAGCCCAGAGCCCGACGTGGGGCTCGAACTCACGGACCGCGAGATCGTGACCTGGCTGAAGTCGGACGCTTAACCGACTGTGCCACCCAGGCGCCCCTCCTCCATTTTTTAAATCTGAGAAAATGGGTTCAGAGAGTTTCAGTGACTTGGCCAAAGTCACACAGCTAGTGAATGTCCAAGGCCCCTTGAAGGTGAGTGAGGGAGATGAGATTTGAACCAGTACCTGTCTGATTTCGAAGTCTGTGTTTTCAGATGCAGCATCATAATCTACTGCCTTCGAAGTCACTGTCATCCAGGGGAAGGCACACTCAGGCCTCTATGGACACACCCGCACTGCACTCATGGAAAATTGAAGCTTGGCTTCTTGGTACCGCTCCATCGGTAGCCCCATGACTAGCACGCTCTGTCATGGCATCCACCCAGCAAAAGTATTTGCTCAGAGGTGAGGTCAGAGATGGTTCATTGATTCATCCAGGATATTTAGAGTGGAGCCAATGACCCCCATTGGGAAGCCTCTGAAGGACAGCCCTGCTCTGGGTGGGAGGGGCTCCTGCTTCTACCTCTGAGATTCTGTGATTCTCAGTGGAGGGTGACTTGTGGAAACTGTTTACAGATGGTATCACTTGTGGACCTGCCCTTCCCATATCCTTGATGTGTGTTGTAGCAACAAACCCCAGGCCTCAGTGGATGGGCAAGGTGGGAAGGGAACACTCAGAATAGACAGAGTGCAGCCAGACTGAAGGTGGGAGCTGATCCTTGCACAGGAAGCTGAGGCCCGAGTTTGGGGGAAGAAAGGCAGGGACTTACTGAGAGACACGTGCATCTGAATGGGAGTACACAGCTTTGTACCTGAGGCATATTTGTAAGGATCAAATGCCTGGCTGTGGGTGGTAGTACTGCCAAGCTCACGTATCCCTGGTCCCAGCAGGCTACATCAAGGGGGTTTGATGACAGAGATTTGGACATTCGAATAATAGTTTTATTATAGAAACATGGGG